TATCCAGAGAAAAATTTCATAAGTTCAATACAATTACAAAATGATTATCTTGAAAAAGTTTTAAATATGATTGATTTTCGTATTATTTTACTTGATGAATTATTTACAAATAATTCATATGAATATTTATGGAAAGAACCAGAAATAAAAAAAGATTTTATTGATAATATTGAACAATTTAAATTTGTTATTAAACAAACATTAAATAATTTCAATGAAATTCACTTTAGACATGATGATATCAAAAAATTCATTAAAGAATATCAACCAAATACAATAACAAATAAACAAATATTTCGTATATGGCGATTAGTTTTATGTGGTTGTTTACAAGGACCACCTGTTCAGGAAATAGCAACTTTTTTTGGATCGGATATTGTACGAAAACGATTTGAAAATGCTCTTGTTGTATTAGATCAACAAAATGAAAATGTTCAAGTGAAGTTGTGACTCGATTTTTTTTTCTAGTTTAAATAAAAACATAAATTTTTTGAAAACTTAATTTTTCTCTATAGTTATTGAATATCATTCAATAAGAATTATTCCTTTTTGAGATATTTGTTTTTTCAATGAGCTCGGTGATACAATTACAAGAGAGTGAAACACATGTGTATATCTACCCATCATCATCAGATGATGATAAACAACTAATACTTGTAAGAACTTTTAAATGAATCAAAAAAAAAAAAATTGTTAAATATTTTCAAATTGATTTAGCAAACATATTCATCATCATCATCATCTTCTTCCGTTGAACATGATGATTCCATTAAAGAAATACTATCAAATCATCGGAAAATTCTTTTTGATAAAGCACTTGGTGAAATGTTAACACGACATTTTTATTTAATTCAACATGAATTTTTATCATCCGATCGATTTGAAGGTTGGATTTATACATATAATCGTCATCGATATAAAATCATAATTAGTTATCATTCATCATGTTCATGTAAAAAATTTCAAAAAAATAACGTTTGTAAACACTTTCTATTTGTACTCAAACGTATTTTTAATATTGATCTTTATTCATTGGATCTTCGTCTTTCAATCATGGAATATCGTCGATTTACTAATATAGATTTAGAATATATTTTTCAAGGACAAATTCGTCGACTTTGTTCAATTGTTCCACCATCGTCACAATTAAATAAAAAAGAACAATTACTTTTAACTTTTAAATGTCAATCAATTGATTATAATGATGTTTGTCCAATATGTTTTGAACGCTTACTTATGAAAAATAGAAAATTAGTAACATGTTTTTATTCATGTGGTAAATCAATGCATAAAGATTGTATGAATGAATGGAAACATATTAAAGGAAAATCAACTAATTGTCCACTTTGTCAAGCTCATTGGATAAATGCATCAGCAGCAGAAAAAGCTGTAATCGACTATTATGCACGTCGTTCTTATCCGATTGAGAAACAAAAAAAATATATTTTATGTTGTTTATACACTCCGCCAGATTATTTCTAGTCATTTGTGATCATCTATATCTATCGTAGTACTTAGTTCAGATATTTTCAAGTTTGATATGATTTATATTTTCATTTTATATTTTCTTTTTATTCAAATAGAAATATATCATGTACTCATTGATTCTGAATAAACAATATATCTTACTAATTGAATTTTTTATGGATTAATTGGCGATTCATTAATATTGTAGACATATTCAATCTTTTGTTTGTCTTTTAATAAAAGAAATAGACAAAAGAATAGGATATGAGGAGATTTTTTTAAAATTATTTCAGATGAGTGTAACAAATAATTTTAAACGAAAAACATTTCCTAATCAAAATTCATCAATAACACAATTGAACGCTATACAAATCAATATAGTATGATATTCTTAATATTCTTTATACACATAAGAAGAAAATAAATCTTGATTCAATTTTGAAATATCGAAAAAGATATTTGATTTTGTACATAAAATTTTAAATAATTGTGCAAATGAATTCTGATATGCTATTCGAAAAGGATCTTGTAATTATCATTGAATTTTATTGGACAAATGATGATGATGAGAGAGAGAAGAGACAATGTTGAGTGTTTTCTTTAGAATTGGTGAGCAAAAAACACTAATACAATGCTGGAACTTCAGTGAAAAAAACGAACGTTTCTTAAGGTTATGGGTGACTCCTCACACTCGCTGTTGCCACACTGTGCTACGGTTGGTATCGATTCACCATTCACTGCTGAGAACGATGCAACGGTCTAAACATGTGCGTATAGACTAGCCGTGAAGATAGCGAACGCATAGTAATGGTATAGTGGTCTTGGATTAATTTCAATTAGAATGATCGTTTCAAGAAAATAGCTGAATTTCATAATCATAGACTAAAAGTTTTTGTGGCCGAATGATTCGAATCTATAGGAGATTTGTCGAAATTCTCGCAATCGAGAAAGGCTTAGTTCTCACGATTTAGTCACGTTTTATAAAATTCAGCTATTTTCCTGAAATGAATCTAAAATCACCGTAATTTAATACGTACATGTCTAGATTCATGCAGCGTTCTACATAAAACCGGTACATCGTTATTAGGAGTGAACAGTGGATCGGTAATCACCATGCTAGCTACATCCTTAATATGAATTATAATTCTAATCTTACAATAGAAATTCAAACAAATGAATAATACAAAAATATAGACTTATCTTATGTTTAGGTTCTTCTTCGTGAATATAAACTTCGTTCATATACACTTAATGCTGTTAGTTTTCATTTTCTTCAACAACAAAAAGAAGATGTACAACATTCAATAATAACTGATTTACAAGTAAATTTAATGTTTTTTTATTCTTTATTTTTTAAATATTTCAATTTGTTTTAAATTTTTGAATAGAATGGTAATGCTCAAACACGTCATCGTCTTGCAGTATATTGTCTTAAAGATGCTTATTTACCATTACGTTTATTAGAAAAATTAATGTCATTAATTAATTATATGGAAATGGCTCGTGTTACTGGTGTACCAATGAATTATTTACTTCAACGTGGTCAACAAATAAAAGTTATTTCACAAATTCTGCGAAAATGTAAAGAAAAAGATTTATTGATACCAGCATTAAAAATTAGTGAAACAGGTGATGATTTTACTGGTGCTACAGTCATTGAACCAATACGTGGTTATTATGATACACCAATAACAACATTAGATTTTTCATCACTGTATCCATCAATTATGCAAGCATATAATTTATGTTATTCAACATTAATTAATGATGGTAGAATAAAACAAACGTAAGTTTTGAGTTTTTTGTTTTTTATTAAATTAAATATAAATATAATATGAATGAATAGATTGTATAAAATTTCTTATTATAATACTTTGTTGAATAGTTCTATAGATTTTTTTTTTCTTTTTCTAGTCTATCTGATGATGAATATATTACAACACCAAGTGGTAACTGTTTCGTAACAGCTAAAGTTCGTCGTGGATTATTACCTGAAATTCTTGAAAATTTACTTAGTGCTCGTAAAAAAGCAAAACAGGTATTTTTTGTTATCTCTGAACAAAATTCATTTTAATTTTTTTTTTTTTTTTTTGTTATTTAAAATTCGTTTTTTTTTCTTTGTTATATTTAGATGATGAAAGAAGAAACTGATGAATTTCGTAAAAAAGTTCTCGATGGTCGTCAGAATGCTTTAAAAATATCTGCTAATTCTGTATATGGTTTTACAGGTGCACAAGTTGGTAAATTACCATGTCTCGAAATATCTCAATCAGTAACAGCATTTGGTCGTGAAATGATAGAAAAAACTAAAGCTTTAATTGAAAGTGAATTTACAATAGCTAAAGGTTATGAACATGATGCTAAAGTTATATATGGTGATACAGATTCAGTTATGATTAAATTTGGTATTAAAACATTAGAAGAAGCTATGAAACTTGGTCGTTTAGCAGCAACAACTATTTCATCAAGTTTTCCACCACCAATTAAACTTGAATTTGAAAAATGTTATTATCCATATTTATTAATTAATAAAAAACGTTATGCTGGTCTTTATTTTACACGTCCAGATAAACATGATAAAATGGATTGTAAAGGTATTGAAACAGTACGACGTGATAATTGTGAACTTGTTGCTAGTTTAATAAGTACATGTTTAGAAAAATTACTTATTGAAAGGTTTGAAATTTTAATAATTAATCTTTTTTTTTAATTTTTATTCTGCTTATTAGAGATCCAGATGGTGCTGTTGAATATGTTAAAAATGTTATTTCAGATTTATTATGTAATCGAATTGATATATCACAATTAGTTATTAGTAAAGAATTAACAAAAACTGATGCAGAATATGCTAATAAACAACCACATGTTGAATTAGCTAATAAAATGCGTAAACGTGATCCTGGTAGTGCACCTAATTTAGGTGATCGAGTTCCTTATGTTATTATACCAGGAACTAAAAATCGACCAGCTTATGAACGAGCAGAAGTAAGTTATTTATTTACTTGTCAGTTTTTCGATAATTGAATTCCATTGAAATAAAATTCAAATAAATTGATCAAATTTTTTAAATATTTTACTTCATTTAATATCACATATAATATTAGAAATAGTAAAATACAATCAGGAATTCTTGAAGTCATCAGCATTAAGGAAAGAATCGATTGAAAGATTTTGCTTAAAATTGACCGTATTTCGGAGAAGGAATCAAACGGTTTTTTGAGAATTGATGAACAAAAAAAAACGAATGAACGTTGAAATTTAGCTAAGAATAAATGCGGAAACTTCGGATTTAAATCCGAGAGTTATGTGTACTTCAAAAAATTGAATCAGACGAATCAGCCATCCGACGAATGTGTGGACATCTAAATTATACTGGGGAACCTACCCTCGAAACTGTTGATTTCTATTGAGTATTGCCAAACCAATAGGACTTGGGACCGAATACAGAGAAAATTTGAACTCTTACCCTTGATTTACCCTAACGAAAGTCGTTTTTCCTATAATTTGATTTCTGTTGGTGACTGCTCAACCAATAGTATTTAGATGGAAGTGGAGTACGGATTCGAGTTCTCCACCCCAGAAAACCTCGAACTATCATCTCTGTGATCGAAAGATAGATCTCTATTTATGGATCAATTAGCGCGTGGACAAACACAGAACCGAATTCCGTTTAATTATCTTTGCAATAAGTGAGTTAACTTTCTTGTTTCCTTATGTTTTATATACCATTTTGTAGCTCATGAAATTCTCTATCGAATGGTTTAGAATAGTTGGGGTTTTATTTGACTATGATAGGAAAAGTTTTTTACAAAAACAGAGAAGGATCGATCTTCTCATAGAGAAGCATAGGAAAAAATGACTATTTTTGCAATAACTCAGCCATGGCTCGGCCAATCATTCTCATCTTCGAATTCGACCGAGACATTGCTAAGACTAAACTGTGTACAACATTCCATCGCAGTCGGATGAGTTTTTGAAGAGTTATCGTGTAAACGGCTGGCCGGACACACTGACCGATTCTAGAATGTACTCACTTTTTGAGTACACAAAAAGACATATGGTTTGTTTGGGAAACGACCAGTCTACACTCGCATACGAAAATAGGAAGCAATATTCAAATAGATAGTAATGATCGGAAAAAGTAATCTAAAAGTGATGAGAACTGGCCAATATCCTCGAAAAATGGAAAGCTGTTCTATTTCAAGCAGAAATGGTTTACCCTTACAACATCAAAGAGAAATGGTTTTTCAGAATAACAACAGGCATTGCTTACGTAGGTATATGGGCAATTATATGTCTAGCTGTATGAATAGACATACGTACGAAAAAATGTAATGTTCAAATTTTAAACCTATAAATTTTGTTTAAATTTTGAGAACCCTCAATAAAAAATAACATCAACGAATGATAAAAAAATTAAAATAAAAAATTAAATTTTGTACTTTATGATCAACATCACGTTCTGATGATGGCTTTATTACAGCCGAAAATTCAACTGTTCATACTAAAGTTAAACGATTAAAAATCATATTATGCATTAAGTTATAGGTTTAAAATTTGGAGATTACATTTTTTCGTACATATGTTTATTCATACAGTTAGACATATATTTGTCCATATAGCTAGGAAGAAAAGACCATATAAAATAAAACAAATAAGATAATTAAATAAAAAACATTGTATTACTTAACAAATAAATCAATAGTTGATTTATGATTAAACTCATTTGATGGTCTATTCTTCAACAAAATTGCTTTATTTTTCAATATGAAATAAATCCATGTTACATTTTCTTAATGTAGTGTATGAATTGACTTACAATTCGGAACAAAAAGGGGATTGGTAACTTAGTTTTCACAATGAATTTCGTTCTAATTAGATGAAATTTTAAACAAATAGTTAAGTCTACCAAAAGTAGTATTATACAGAACTGTAGTAACGAAGACTGCGTATTCTCCGACCCATTTTGCTAAAATTTTCATCCTTCTCCTATAAAAATCATTCTTTTCATTCAAAAAAAGATCATAAACAGCTTCATAAATAGAAAAGTAACATTCCTTATATATTTCTTTGCTTCGATATTGTTTATTGATTTAAACTTTATTTTAAATAGGCTACAAAGAATTACATAGCCAAAGCCACGTGCATATGAAGAGAAAATAAAATAACAACTGGTATATATTAGTTTTCCTCTATGCATAAAAGCCATTTCGTTTAAAGTGGTACATTCATAGTTAGTGATTCTACGTGATTGTTTCTCGTGCTTTTATCGAATTTCATTGTTGGTAGTATAATTATCGATATAATTCTAAGTATTTAAATTGATGTTATTTATGTTTAATTATTGTGAATACTCTTTAGAAATGTCTTTGTTTCCTCATCTGTATGTGTCTATTGCCGATTTTTCACAAAAAGGAGGTCATATTCGTCGGCATATCGTAAGTTGATATGTTTTTTTTCTCTCGTCGAGAATGAGCACTATTGTTTTTTATTGGACGTTCATAAACAAAAGAATTAACTGAACATACAAAACAAAGATAGAATTGAACCTATAAAAAGAAAGATGAGAGACGAAATGTCAGAGTTTAATTTAAAAGCATTAACAATGGCTATTGATTTACTCATCGAGCAGGTTTGTTATCTACTGTTTTGAAAATGTTGTCAGGCAGTTGTTTT